AAAAAACTAGTACTTTTACCGCCCTAAATGATTTTACCTAAGTTAAGAAAACACTCCGTGGAACCTCTGTGCAAAAAAAGTGGTTTTGTCTATGAAAACCTGTACTTCTAGGTAGAAGTAACAGAACTAGTAATTCTGGAAATTAGCTTTGACATACATTTCTGGAAATATCTCGACAACAACATCACATATCAACATACGATAATGATGAACCGCTAGATAACGTTCTGACAAAACGAACGGTGCAAAAATATCCGTGAAACACCAAAAATACACTTGGTAAACAGCGTCGAACTTGACCAGTGGCCAGCATTTCAAAGCTTGCGGGCCGGCCGTACTACGGTAACTCTGGTACTGCCACGAAATGGAAATTAGAAATGTCGGCGCCTATATATCTTTGGCGATAGAAATTCTGTTCTAAATTCTAAATTAACACTTATCACTTGGAAAAGTAATTTTATCGACAGTCCGAAGACGACTATAACAACAGGTAAATGTCTCAACAATGGCATAAGAAAAGTGATTTGACGTAAATAAAGAGGATTTAAAAGAAGCAATATTATAAATTTAATAAGTAGGTGAATTAGAGGGAAATTGTTGCTTTCCAAAGCTCTGCTTAAGTAGTCTATTTTTCGGCATTGAAATGACAAATTCTTATACATTTAGTAAAAAAGTAGTCACATTAGTACAGTTACCGTTTTCCACTAAAATACATAACGGAGTTTCTCAAGCATTTTCATTATTTCAGAAAGGGTACCAGATTTTACAGCATACATGAATATGGTGATTTATTCAGAGACGTAGATGTTTCGACAATGCGAACCTGTTTAAGTGCTGAATCACCAACAAACAGATTCCGTTCCATAACTGGTGTCTTTTATTCAATAATATGGAATACAGCTGCGCGGCATAGGTACCTGTGCAACCTGAATTCACTTTTAGACAACAGTTTAGGACCTTTTGCAAACGTAAGGTCTCCCAAGCGCGCAGAGGGAGTCTGACCACTCACCACTTTTGCTTATCAAAGCGCAGTTCTGGTTGTTCTCGCCATTATCAGGCTGACCTAAAAAAATTCCAGTACAGGAAGCTTTCTCAAATTTACCATTCGATGTTCGTAATTGCTACAGAAATAAAAGAACGGCAGAAACCGGCACGAAGATGGAATTAGTGTACTGTCAGGCGAACGAAACATTTATTCACAGTGCATACTTCAGTACTTGGCTAAATAACTTTCAAATTATAAGAGGACTACGTCTGTTTCAAGCGTTGGGTGAAGAAACTCAGTAACATTACTGGTCGACAGAAACCTTCACAGAAATTTTTTATCGCTAAGTAAGCTAGTATCTCCAAAGGAATTTACCCACGTTTTTTGAAGTGCTTTTTAGGATAATCACTTCATATCCATTATTTTTTCAAAAATGAAAACGAGACATTAAAATGCTGTGATTTCACGAGAATAACGAAATGATGAAAAACTACATTTTTCCAGATAGAGGTAGTCGGCAGAAGTTAATCTTGCGTTTGGTGTGGACGTTAATTTTTTGTTAAGTACGCAAACGACTTGTTGGAAGATTAGGCTGGCAAGTTTGCTGAATAAGTGAGAAGTTTAAAGATCAGTTGGGGAGGAACATTTCTTTCAAAACACACCACAAACACTCTTTCTGGCACTGCTCTTTGCAGAATATTGCAGTCAACTCTTAATGCCAAGACCGGAGTCATTTTCAACACCTATAATGTGTTGTAAGTGTTTGCAGCTTTAATAATTTAAGATTTCATCGCTCACTGCTCAAAAAAAAGATGCATTTTTTCTAGGGTCCCTCCAGCAATTAAGAAGCATGTTTTAAAAAGCAGCGACTTTTTCCAGCAGTTATAGTAGATCTGCTGAAATAGCGACAGTGAATCATGTTCCTGTTGGGGAAAGTGCTTCAGTTTGTTCCGGCTGATTTTGCACAGTACGCATATTAAACCGGCACAAATGTTGCAATATTTTCGGAGCGGTGCTAACTTCAGTTCCAAAGCTTCTTTTAAGCTTTATTACTGCTTGAGAGAGAAATACAGCATAATTTTTTGCTAAATGACTGTCCTCGTAAATTGAAAACAAATGACATTAAATCGTTCCTAGATGAATAAAGCTGTTAAGAACTAAACTGTTTCTTTTTCCTTGCCTATCAATTAGGTTATCTTTTCTCATATTTTAAAAAAATCTCTTTTCCTTTTCACCGAGTGTAAACTTGAACTGTTAACTGCCAATTAGTACAACACTGTTGGTTTAAAGCAAGGTAAAAACTTACTAGCTGAAAACTGCAGATATAGAGTGTAAAATAAGTTCACCAAAAATTTGCCTTCACCTAAGTATTTCAGTGCCAGCTAGTTCTTTTTGTTAATAAAATTGTTACTGCTGTACCAGTTTTACCGATAAATAGGAAACAGAGTTGTCTTTCTTCCTTCTGTAAGTGTGTTCTGTATACAACTCTTAAACTGTTTTTACATTCCAACATGAGTTATTAGAAACAGTAGAAGAAACAGTTAAATGATTTTTGACCCCGTTATGATTGGGTGCGATATAAAGTAGGCTGGTTTTAAGGTAGGAGTGTTATAACCAATTGCGTTATGGTGGCGTTTCTAACGCCATTTCTCACATTATATTTTTATGACATGACGGCGTATCATAAAAGATTAACTTACAATACACACTCTGTTGGACCCTTAGAAGTATTTTAAGCAATTTTATGTCTAGTACCAGTAGAGAACAGTTGATCGAAGCAAATGTACAGAAATATCAAAAATACGCTGTTCAGATTACTGAAACTGATTAAGCACAAACCTTTTCTCCATTTTGAGTATGCGTATCGACTTCCATCTGTCCAGACGAACTTGTTTTCCTTGGCAACATCGTTAACTCCAATCCAACTCTGACCCCTAATCAGTCCTGAAAAATCTTCATTCCTTTTCCTCTTGAAGTTTCAGCAACGCTTACGCGTCCGTTCAGAACTAGAAGTTAATCTTCAGCGATCAACAACATTCTTGTTCATACAGTTAGTTGATAGCTAATCGATTCAAGTTTCATGGCTTTAATTTTTTTCTAATCTTTTTCTAGTGCATTTCGCTAACTCATATAAAGTAATATTAACTTGGATAATTCTAAAAATCTGTTAATTAAACTGTAGAAGGATTGACTTTTCTTACAAAACAATTTTAGTTGTTGTAGGTCGGATGAGTTCTGTAACTTTTGACTACAAAAGCTTCTGTGCCAGTCTTCGCTTTTTTAAGGACGCGTGATACGCGAAAAGTGACTTTACTTTTGAAAAATTGATGGGACTATCTCGTCGCTTATCCAGTTCAATTTCTTCTTTTGTAGTGCGTACTGACTTTTCACTAACTGTCTTGTTTTTTTATGATTAGTTATTTGATGTTGTTATTTTTTTAGCTTTTTATATCATTTCTTTCATTGTCCTAAGTCTCTTCTTAATTCGGTAAGTGTGCGCTTTAAAAAGTGAAGCCTTTAATAGCGTAACACTCAGACTTTGAAAGAATCAAAAAATGCAAAGCTTTTGGCTTTATTGGTAATTTTTGTGGGAAGGACATAGACTCGGAAAATAGAAAAAGTCAGTCTTTATCGGGCAAGTGAGCTGTGCCTTTCGCTATATTCTTCTCTGAAGAGTCTTCTTCAAGGATGCCATTTGTTTTTTCAAAGTTAATGGGATTCATTAATCACTGTTTTTAGTGTCTTTAAGTGTATAGACAGTTGGTTGTAAGTGGCCAAAATTAATTGCTGTTATTCATACCTTTGATAAATTCGTTTTCTTCTTCGTTGGAAATACTTGCTAGGTGTCCTCCCCATTTGATGCAGTTTTCTTCAGCGTGATACCAGGATACGTGTTCATCTACAACAATGAACTCGTTTCCTCCATTACTGTAGATCCGAGAAGTCATTAATCTCATTGTTTTCTGTTAAAAAATAAATTGAACGTATCAGACAAAACTGCAGTGACAATAGCGTATCGGATACTTGTCTTAAATTTGTACATTATCATATAATAAAAGATTACGGCAAACTCACAAAATGCAAAAACGTTGGAAATGTTGTGTTTTATCAAAGGATCAGTGGGTATAAGAATTACTAACATTTAGAGAAAGAATTTCCTTCGCAAATTTTCTGTTGTGCCTTAAAGCCGCTTCGTCCAGTTTTTTGTTTAACTCGTTAATCTTTTTGTTGAATTGAATTTCTAATTCAAGTAACCTCTTCGTACAACAATGGTTGCAGTCAAAGGAAGGAGTGTCAGTGATAACGCATCGCTGAGTCGTATAGGAATGCGAGTTTGAATCGATCATCTTTTCTGGGCCTTCTGGAACCTCTTCAAGATCTAGAATGGCTGTTTTTGAGGAACGT